CTCTCTCTCTCTCTCTTTCCTTCTCTCTCTCTCTCTCTCTCTCTTTCTTTCTCTCTCTCTCTCTCTTTCCTTCTCTCTCTCTCTCTCTTTCCTTCTCTCTCTCTCTCTCTTTCCTTCTCTCTCTCTCTCTCTCTCTCTCTTTCCTTCTCTCTCTCTCTCTCTCTCTCTCTCTCTCTCTCTCTCTTTCCTTCTCTCTCTCTCCCTCTTTCCTTCTCTCTCTCTCTCTCTCTCTTTCCTTCTCTCTCTCGCTCTCTCTCTCTCTCTTTCCTTCTCTCTCTCTCTCTCTCTCTCTCTTTCCTTCTCTCTCTCTCTCTCTTTCCTTCTCTCTCTCTCTCTCTCTTTCCTTCTCTCTCTCTCTCTCTCTCTCTCTCTTTCCTTCTCTCTCTCTCTCTCTCTCTTTCCTTCTCTCTCTCTCCCTCTTTCCTTCTCTCTCTCTCCCTTTCCTTCTCTCTCTCTCTCTTTCCTTCTCTCTCTCTCTCTCTTTCCTTCTCTCTCTCTCTCTCCTTCCTTCTCTCTCTCTCTCTCTCTTTCCTTCTCTCTCTCTCTCTCTCTTTCCTTCTCTCTCTCTCTCTCTCTCTCTCTTTCCTTCTCTCTCTCTCTCTCTTCTTCTCTCTCTCTCTTTCTCTTTCCTTCTCTCTCTCTCTCTCTCTCTCTTTCCTTCTCCCTCTCTCTTTCTCTCTCTCTCTTTTTCCTTCCTCTTCTCTCTCTCTCTTTCCTTCTCTCTCTCTCTCTCTCTCTCTCTCTCTCTCTCTCTCTCTCTCTCTCTCTCTCTCTCTCTCTCTCTCTCTTTCCTCCTCTCTCTCTCTCTTTCCTTCTCTCTCTCTCCCTCTTTCCTTCTCTCTCTCTCTCTCTTCTTCTCTCTCTCTCTCTCTTTCCTTCTCTCTCTCTCTCTCTCTCTCTTTCCTTCTCTCTCTCTCTCTTTCCTTCTCTCTCTCTCTCTTTCCTTCTCTCTCTCTCTCTCTCTTTCCTTCTCTCTCTCTCTCTCTCTCTCTCTCTCTCTCTTTCCTCCTCTCTCTCTCTCTTTCCTTCTCTCTCTCTCCCTCTTTCCTTCTCTCTCTCTCTCTCTCTCTCTTTCCTTCTCTCTCTCTCTCTTTCCTTCTCTCTCTCTCTCTTTCCTTCTCTCTCTCTCTCTCTCTTTCCTTCTCTCTCTCTCTCTTTCCTTCTCTCCCTCTCTCTTTCCTTCTCTCTCTCTCTCTCTCTCTCTCTCTCTCTCTCTCTCTCTCTCTCTCTCTCTCTCTCTCTCTCTCTCTCTCTCTCTCTCTTTCCTTCTCTCTCTCTCTCTCTTTCCTTCTCTCTCTCTCTCTTTCCTTCTCTCTCTCTCTCTCTCTCTTTCCTTCTCTCTCTCTCTCTCTCTCTCTCTCTCTTTCCTTCTCTCTCTCTCTCTCTCTCTCTTTCCTTCTCTCTCTCTCCCTCTTTCCTTCTCTCTCTCTCTCTCTTTCCTTCTCTCTCTCTCTCTCTCTTTCCTTCTCTCTCTCTCTCTCTCTCTTTCCTTCTCTCTCTCTCTCTCTCTCTCTTTCCTTCTCTCTCTCTCTCTCTCTCTTTCCTTCTCTCTCTCTCTCTCTTTCCTTCTCTCTCTCTCTCTCTCTCTCTCTTTCTCTTTCCTTCTCTCTCTCTCTCTCTCTCTCTTTCCTTCTCCCTCTCTCTCTTTCCTTCTCCCTCTCTCTCTCTCTCTTTCCTTCTCTCTCTCTCTCTCTTTCCTTCTCTCTCTCTCTCTCTTTCCTTCTCTCTCTCTCTCTCTTTCCTTCTCTCTCTCTCTCTCTTTCCTTCTCTCTCTCTCTCTTTCCTTCTCTCTCTCTCTCTCTTTCCTTCTCTCTCTCTCTCTCTTTCCTTCTCTCTCTCTCTCTCTTTCCTTCTCTCTCTCTCTCTCTCTCTCTCTCTCTCTTTCCTTCTCTCTCTCTCTCTCTCTCTCTCTCTCTCTCTCTTTCCTTCTCTCTCTCTCCCTCTTTCCTTCTCTCTCTCTCTCTCTCTCTCTTTCCTTCTCTCTCTCTCTCTCTCTCTCTCTTTCCTTCTCTCTCTCTCTCTCTCTTTCCTTCTCTCTCTCTCTCTCTTTCCTTCTCTCTCTCTCTCTCTCTTTCCTTCTCTCTCTCTCTCTCTCTCTCTCTCTCTCTTTCCTTCTCTCTCTCTCTCTCTCTCTTTCCTTCTCTCTCTCTCCCTCTTTCCTTCTCTCTCTCTCCCTTTCCTTCTCTCTCTCTCTCTTTCCTTCTCTCTCTCTCTCTCTCTTTCCTTCTCTCTCTCTCTCTCCTTCCTTCTCTCTCTCTCTCTCTCTTTCCTTCTCTCTCTCTCTCTCTCTTTCCTTCTCTCTCTCTCTCTCTCTCTCTCTTTCCTTCTCTCTCTCTCTCTCTTCTTCTCTCTCTCTCTCTCTTTCCTTCTCTCTCTCTCTCTCTCTCTCTCCTTTCCTTCTCTCTCTCTCTCTTTCCTTCTCTCTCTCTCTCTTTCCTTCTCTCTCTCTCTCTCTCTCTTTCCTTCTCTCTTTCTCTCTCTTCTCTCTCTCTCTCTCTCTCTCTCTCTCTCTCTCTCTCT